AGGCTATTTTGAATAAAAAATGTTTGTTATTATTTGCTAATTCCGAAATATAAATAGTAACCCTCTACACCGGAGTGACCGAAAAATTTCAAAAGGGCTAGTTTCATAATTTTCGGTTTAAAGTTCACTTAATGAGACTTTAAATTGAAAAACAGTGCACTTTGTTTCATCTCTCTAAGTATCGTAGGTAGTATTCCCGTACATAATTATTAAAAATCGAATGTGGTAGGGTGGTGACGTCACGCCCTTATTCCCGCTTCTTGTTCGATTGACCAATAGGAACAATAAAAATAATCAACATTGCCAAATCGTGAAATTTACGAAGCCTATAATTATCAATTTGATTATGGAAGTGTATATGGACACGTTGACGTTTCACTTATTGAAAAATTCTCCACATGGAATAAAATGTATAAGAAAAATCATGTTTGCAAATGAGTTTATATATAAAATCAGTACACAAAGTCGATACATCGCAAAATATTCACCTAAACTATGATTTTATGCATTATTTAATAATAAACAGTTATGAAAATCAAAAAATATATCAAACTGGATCAAAGAATCATTTCAAATATTCAATTTATTCTACAATCATCAATCTGTACAACTGTAATTTATAATGGAAAAAAAAACGATTCCTACATACATACATCTTTCTAATATAGCTACTAAATTCAAGCGTTATAGGCTCGCTTGGGTAATCTGTTGAATCTTTCAAAACTTGAGAGGAAGATTGAGATTTGATTGTACTCGAACTGATCCAACAAAAGCTTCTGTGGTAATAATACCATTAATCATATGATAAAATATGATCAACTGCAGATAATAATTTCTGTGGAGAATACTGTCATCAAATTGAATATTTTCCTTCACCTTTCATTTATAGTCACTTTTTGAATGATTTGTATTAACTCTTGGAAGAGTAGAAGGATTGTAGTTTGTAGTTCTTTCTTTTCAATAGTTTCACCCATTTTTTTCTCATCATGTTATCCTTTGGGACCCTAAACTCATTATATGAAATAACTCACTTATAAACCAAAGCGCTTCCTGTTTTCTTGTGCCTTTCCGCACAATTAAAATCAGCATAAGAATGCACCATATTAATATTCAAATATATCTCTAAAACACTATCAGAACATAAACAAACTAAACTTGATGAAAAAACGAGTTGTTCCTACATGAGCTGTCAGCTAAGAATGTTTCAAAAACAAGCAGAATGGATCCGATATGACATACATTTTCAATGCCGAATAAACCAATGAATTGTGATATGAGTACTCCATTTTCCTGTGGAAATGAACGATCAATTACCATTTTCTGTAATTATTCATAAATTTTTTTAAGAATAAAGCCAGCAAACAAATAAATATACAATAATAAGATCGGTCGAATCCACGAATTAGGCATAAAAATGGACAATAATATTTGCCTTGATAACTGATATAGTACAAGTTATATCTAAATATAATTCTAAATAGAATTGAACGAGCTGTATTTTCAAATGGTTTTCGAATGCTCATGAACCATAAAAAAATAAATCAATTATGCATTCATGCCACCCACCAGTCAGCCAGTGCCCTCTGTAGTGTATGCGACAATGTGCTCTTTCTAATGTCAATGGTTTCCACAAACTTCGGATTTTTGTTGAAATAATTTCAAAATGAATGTTGAGCCTAGTTTCGTTAAAGCTGACTCCCGACAAATTACCAAGAGTCGATTTTGAAGTGATAGATGAATTTTACTTGAAAAATTTGCAATACTTTGGTACCGAAATGAAGAATGAAAAATTAAAATGGTAGGTGGAATATTTAGTAGGTCCCTTTCATTTATATGACATCCATTTCAGACTTTGTCTTTTATCGAGGAAATGAAATTTTTTATTAGGGCTGTACGGAATCATCCAGTCCGGAGCGGTCAGGAGTATTTTATTTTAGAAAACTGGATCCTAAATAGTTACAAGAAAGGTTTCCCAGTCAGAAAATTTGATATTCAAGTATCTGTGAAAGAACTCTTGGATGCAAATCCTTGGGATAATCCATTTTGTGAAAATTTACCTGACGACGGATGGTACAAGGTTTTTCTCAAACGACATCCAGCTCTAACTCACCGCACCCCAGAGGCTGTAACAGCACCTAGTTCTCTGTTATTTCAGAGTCAGACACACGACATTGGTTTGCTTTGGTGGAGGAATATCATAAGGGAAAGGGTTATTTTGATACATTGAGAGATCCAACCAGAGTGTTCAATGGGGACAAGACATGTTTTTTCCTTTGAGGTGCAAGAAACGTTTATGAGGTAGACTCTGCCCAAGCAAAAACGAACATAACCGCCATGTTCACTTTCTCTGCTGCTGGTCAGGTGACAGAACCTATGCTAATATTTCCGTATAAAAGGCTACCAGCTTCCATCATAAATTCGGTACCAAGTTCTTGGGGAGTTGGTCATGGTGACAATGGTTGGATGAAGGTGGAATTGTTTTACGAATATATCGGCAATGTATTATATCCGTGTTTGAAAAATAGTGAAACTAAATTTCCGGTCACTCTTTTCGTGGATGGACATTGTACTCATCAAACTTTGAAGTTGAGTCAGCTATGCACGAAACTAGAGATTATTTTGATAGCACTTACAAATGCTACCAGCAGCTTTCAAGCTACTCAAAACGGGATGGAAGAAAGCCGTATTGGAGTTCAGAAGGAAAAATCCTCAACAAATACTAACCAAGGAAAAATTTGCTCCAGTACCTATTGAAAATCGTAATAGATCAATGTGCCAAGGTGGATACAATAAAACATGGATTTGATGAGTATGTTATA